TGACAGATGAGGTGAATGCACGAATCTGCAAGGCTCGGGCCGCGTTTGCTAACTTGAGACACCTATGGCGTCAGAATGATTTATCCCTGAATCTGAAGGGACCTCTGTTTTAAGCTACAGTGCGGGCTGTTTTGTTGTATGGCTGACACTTGGCCTATTCGAGGGGCGGAACTGAGACGTGTTCAGGTGTTCGACAATCGTTGTCTCAGAACCATGGCTCGTGTGGGTTGGTGTCGGCGAATCCCGAACGAGGCAACTAGAACGCGAGTATTCGGTTCTGCAACGGGTACTTTTATTGAACAATATGTCGAACACCAGAAGCTGCGTTGGTTGGGACATGTGTTGCCTATGCCGAACCATCGTTTGCCGAAGGGAGTGCTGTTTTCTATGCCCAGTTCAGAGTGGCATAAACAGGGAGTTGGCCAACCCTTGACTTGGCAGAGGAGTATGAAGGAGATCACGAAACGCTTGGGTGCTGTCGGTGCCACTCGCCTTCCAGGATGGGGACCGCGTGATCCTCACTGTGCCTGGTTGGAGACATTACACAATAGAGCTGCCAACCGATGTCATTGGCGTTCTTGTTGTCAGTTTCCACCCAGATTTCTTGAGTGAATGTCTGGAGGTGTAGGCACTTTGAAATGATTGTGCTAAGCTAGCATTATGTCCCTCCCCTGTCCACCTTTACTCTTCTCTTTGCAATGAGGCTTTCAAATAAATTATGGTTGTACGGCAGTGAGGCATCGGTGTTGAACGCTGATGTCATACTGTCGGTGATGATGATGATGATGAATCATTAGAGGATTCGTCCTGCAATTGACGACAACCTATATTGAAAAGCAGAGGATCACTGTACAGTTGTTTCATCCTTTTTCGTAATCATCACCAGCGCGCAAGTTACAAAACTCGGGTGGGTTTCGAACCCACGACCTTGTGGTTTGAATACTTGGTCGTTTGGCCACGAGTGGCTGGTCACCACCGTGACTAGATCGCACTCAATTATGATAGAGCGTAACTCATCCCTTAATTTCGGAAACCGCTCCCCAACTGACGGCTTCTCAGATGGAAGTTTCACCCGTCTTGCGAAACCATTCTTTCTCCGAGCTACTTATAGATTGGTGGTAGTGTGATGATATTTGATAATTTTCACCGGTGAATGTACCCAGTTTATATGCTGTGCTTTTAATCAATCACTTGGCATGGTCATCCCCAGTAGCAGACTAGCATTAAGTCAACAAAAATCTTGAAAATTACGTGTACCTTCATTTCTAATGCTGTCTGGCCTTGTACGATAATTTTGCCAACGGTTACCTACGAATATACACATCTTGTTTCCCAAAGCATGTCTGGACATCACATCACTTGACTTGAACACCATTCACCGAAGTTTATTCACAAATAGAAAGTAACCACCACGTTGGATCAATATGTTTACTGGCCAAGTTCATTATTCAACATTTCCTTTAGCTTGAACGACAGAACTGTTTAGATCCATTTCCAATCCTTTATTATCACGTGATGATACGGTGCCCTACATTCGGTTGCGTATTCCGCGCTCGCTTGGAGCTGATATGAAACCGTTTTTCGATCCATACGATTACACTTACCGCATCAACTTTTATATGCCCAGCTTAACTGGAAATTTTCTACAGCTTTTATTGTTTCGCTCAGTTCTCAAAGCAGCAGATACTTGGTCATTGATTTGTTCGCTGAGCTGGACAGTTTGACTCCAAAAGTTTCATCACTAATCGAGGTGACATCATCGGTGCCTTACTGGGGAGCCTGGTGGTGTGTAGCGATGGGTCGGTGGCTATGCGTTGAGTGCGTACGTCAATATACGTGCTACTCGCCGGGCGGTTTCATTGGTTGCTCTGTTATGCTGTGTTCTGGTTGGTCGATGACCACGTGATCTCTCACCTTGCTCTCGTACCCAGATCGATGTTGGAGTAACCCATATTCTTGACCCTCCGAGTTGCGGCTTGTGATTTTTATCGATCTGACTCCACGGCATCGAATTAACTAGGTCAGCGAACAAACCAACGACCATCTATGTTACCTGGGCTAACAAAATTTTCCTCTGTACAACAAAAATTCATTTGTTCTTCTATTTCACCCCTCCCTTTAATATAAACCTCCCAAATGGTCAATCAGTGCGCAACCAGTTCATGTCATCATCGGGACGCGGAAAACACGGCCTACGTTCTACGATTCGAACACCGAATCAAACACCGCAACCACTTCGAGTGCTACATCCATTCAGTCCACGAGAATGAAGCGCTTCTAACGAAATTCTACTCGGCCAGAACATTGTTCCATGTGATATTCTGGCCCGTCGGCTTGTTTTTCACTTCCATTGCTTGTGTACTTTTTGCCTATTTGGTCGATCGCTGTCGTGTATGGACCGGCGACCAGAGCATGATTGTCTAGTCCCATTACTTTCGCTATGTACCCGAACCACACTCCCATCAGATCTCACGGTTAGGAAATAATCATTGTGAATAAAGTTTCTAGCAAAAAGTCTGCAATGCCTTCCTGATGTTTAAGGGACTTTCCTGTGCTCAAAAGTAAAAAATCGATTGATTTGGAACAAAAATCGCTCAGACGTACGCTGGTTGACCAGCTGATCGTTGATCAATTTATCGATCTGTTTGGTCATCATTCGAGGTAACAGTATCATTACCCGATTGAATGCGTTACTTCACCTTACCTGTTTGATATTATATAGTTTTCGAAAAGTGCTGTGATTGCAAAGTACGTGGAAACTTCTGCGGTGCTCCGTTCTCAGTTGTATCGTATTGGCGACCAGTTTCCTTGCGATCGATTGCTGCTTTGAGTAGCCTTTGTCCGAATGCCACTGGGGCGCTGAATTATTTACCCATATAATATTGCACCATAATCTGGACGCGTTCCATTTATCTTCATTGAAGAAACTGAGTAGATGATGCAGCTATGCAAGCCGAAGGCTGAGATAAAGAATGAGATAAAGAACAAACCTATGCAGCAGCACTTTAAGTTCGGAGGTTAAGTTCGAACCACGGACGTTCTGGCCAGCAATTTCACTGGTCAACCACTCAGCGCAGCATACGAAGATAATAAAATATCGACGGCAGCTATCCAGATTCGGGGGCAGGTGTAGGGTACTTGTAGAACTGGCAGCCTGTGAATGTTGAGAACGAACGGGGATCCATTAGCTCGCAAATGATGTTCAACTTTAGTCAGATTTCTGTTTTTGGGATCACACAGGTCCGTTACTCGCCATCTTCACATGGCTTTCACGGAAGGTATCTGGTTAATTTCCTCCAATTTGGTTCCAAGAAAGACAAACGTTGATTGAAGACAAGCTCGTGAACTGTGTCTGCCTGTTAATCCCCAAAAAGGGCAAAACCGGGCGTGAGTTTCCCGTAACCAACCTCATGAGTAGTGTGTTAAGTCTAGGTCCGTTTCCCCTTCGTTTAAATCGTACTGTGTTTCTTCACGGGTGAAATGTTTTCCCATCGGGCGAATAGGTCCTTCGTCGTCTTGGTCTCCCACGAACGTCCCACCCCCACCTTATTACGTTTTGGTTAAACTCGTTCCATGTCTTGTTGCCACGTAAGCGCGTCAGCACGAACTGGGCCTATTAAAGAGTCATTCGCTGAATGTTCAGCAACCGAGCATGACTACTAGGGCAGTACTCAGTAGTTTCCCCAGGTCGATTACGCCAGTCGACTTATATTCAGGTCATGGCCATCCCAGTGCAAAACATTTCGCAAGAAACATGAATGAGCCGTCAACAAGCATTCTATATTTGCTTTTCGAAATTCGCTATTGGCGGAATCTCATTCGGGTAGCTTACGAGATCCTGTAGTGGTTCGTTTCCGACTTCAATGGATTATATATCGTTTGAGCCGATGAAATGGCTTGGAGGATTTTTTTTACAAGCATTCTTTGCTTTTCGAAATTCGCTATTGGCGGAATCTCATTCGGGTAGCTTACGAGATCCTGTAGTGGTTCGTTTCCGACTTCATTCAATTAGATGTCGTTTGAGCCGATGAAATGGCTTGGAGGATTTTTTTTCGAAATATCGACCCCTTATTAGTTCCACCGAGTTGAACAACTCGGGAGCGGATACTAATTTAGAAACAGCAGTATCTGGCATATAAGTTGGGCAACGATTGACCTTCAAAT